AGTCAAACGCAGATGATCAGACATAACATCTTAAAAAAATATTTAACAGATTGAAGGACTCTTCCTATACAAAATTAACAATAAATAAAGGGCAAAGTAAGAGTTAAATACATTTTTGAAATTGTTACACAATTAAAAAAAAGAAATTGCAAATAAAGAAAAGTAAAATTGAAAAAATATAATAAAATAAAAAACTTGGTTTAAATACAATTAAATTACAAGTTTCGGCTACCGGATTGAGCCCTCTTCAGACATTAATTTATCACAAAAATTGCTGTACAAAATTAATTATCGGAAATGCTCGCATATTCACTATAATTACAGCTCAGATGAATCTTGATGTAGAACTTGACATTATTCACATACGATTGAACAATCAAATGTGTTTCATATCTCTTAGAAAAAATTATATTGATAAAAAAGATAAAAAGACTTCTTACGAAAAAATAAACACAACCAAATTAGCATACCGGAATTCTAACAAGTAATTAAAACTCACCAAAAATCATGTGTAAATTATTTAAACAAGTGTGTCCATATAAATATGAAAACCCATTAGAATATATAAAGTTTAGTGGAACGCAGATGTGTAAGACGGACATTCTGTATCGATTATAGTGTACGCTCGCTGATACGGATCAACACAGACTGAGAGAAGAGACGGACTGTCAGTATCGAAAAGTCAAACTTTATTTACAATAGATATATTATATGCCTTGTGAAGACCTTCAGTGTCAGTTTGTAAATTTAAACTATTTTTCTGCTTTTTAATATTGAGCAAAAATTAAGCGTTTCCTATAACAAAGCTCTTCAAAATTTTAACATTGTCCCACTGGAAATTTAAAAAATAATTAAATTACGAATCCTTTGATAAATGATATCTTCTTTACTTTGTATATTTCAACTCACTTTAAAGTCCTCTTTAGCAAAACTTCTTGACACGCTCTAGAGAGCGTGTCAAGAAGTTTTGATACATAATTGACTACAAAATTACATTTATACAAATCTATCTACTAAAATTTTACATTACTTTATCTTTGGCAATTTGTGAGTGACACAATCTTTTTGGATATGAATTTTTCGTTGTATATCTATATTGCCTCATTCGCCTTAGTTTATGTTAGCTATACGTATAATTTATAGATTTAAAGTCCTCTATATAATAATTGTTTTTCTCAATATTAGAATATTGCATGTATGTGTATTATGATGTGTGAATATCTACACAAATTAGAGCTAGAAGTAATTTATGCTGATTCGTTCATGCAGATATTCTCTATGTTTATTTATACAAAATATTGCGATTAAATGTTATGTGTACATATATACACATTATATTTTATATATAACTATATATATATATATATTGTTCGAAAAGTAATTTCGTTTTTTCTTATGAAAATGAAAGACGATTTTTAATCAGACGCGTTTCAAATGATCATGAACGGTCGAATTCGATAAATTTAATCTCTCAGCGATCTCACGAGTTGTTCTTCGCCGGTTTGCATCAATTAATGCCTTTATTGTGTCTTTATCAGCTTCAACTGGCCTTCCAGAACGTGGTGCATCTTCAACATCAAAATTGCCGGATCGAAATTTTGCAAACCAGTTTTGGCACTGTCAATACATCTTCTTCATACACATCGGATAATTTTTTTCTTGCTTGAACAGCATTTTTACCTTTTCGATAGTAAAAAAGTAAAATATGCCGAAAATGCTGCTTTTCACTTTCATATTTGATAGGGCACCAACCAAAAACTACTGCGTAGAATCAATCGAACTTTTTTCACAAGCAAGCCTTGCTATATCAGCTGTCAAAATATATAATGATTATGCGGCTTAAGTGTGAAGTTGGCTGTGAAAAAATACAATAAGTCCTCTGTTGGGAAAAAACGAAATTACTTTCCGAACAACCTAATATATACATACAATTTTAATATTGCATATTTAAACATAGGGAATGCATAAATAGCTTAGCATAAATAACTTCTATCTGTAACATATGTATATTCACACATTATAGTATATAATACATATATGAAATATTATATAATATTGCCTATATGTGTATTATATTTAAGTACACACCACTAATTTTGTATATTTTAATATAAGTAACTTCTACGTCTTTTTAAACTTAGCAAAAAATGGAGTGGCTACGTGTATTATATGTGTAATTTATGTATTGTTAATACATGTTACATCCTGACTTAAAATGACATTGTACGAAAAAAAAAATGCTATTACGACCATATGTCAATATACACTGTCAATACTGAAAATCTATAGTTATTATACGTATTATTACGTCCAAGCTCCGCACGTATGCGGAGCTGAGGGGGTGAACGTAACAAGGAACCGAAATGTTAGACCGATTTGGTCGTGTCCAGGCTCCGGACCGCAAGGGAGCCGTGGGGAAGGACCGATGCAAATCGGGAGACGTTTCGCTTCGTTTTGAGGCTCCTTGGGCTGGGGGTCGAACGGAGGACGAAGTGGAAATCTGTGCTCGTGCTCCGCTAAATAGACACACGAGTCGGACGTACTTTCAAAAAAACCCAGTTTACTTTTTTCTCAATTCTAAAATTGGAAACAATATGATTGGAAACAAGACCGTCTATATAAATATTAAGACTTTAAATACAAAGCGCCTTCCCGGTCCGAGTGTTAAGATGTTGAACTACTATCTAATATACATTCAATTAAATTGAATTAATATTTCAGAAATAAATTGAGAGCCGATGAAATTATCGGATTCACACAATCAATCTGAAACAAATAAT